ATAAAGTCCTATGGTAGGATCAAATCCAGTATTTGTTAAGACCTAATATATTAAAGTAAATGAACGAAAAGTGATGGACAGCGTGAAAACTAACGAACTTATTGTTCGACGTTGAGTCCCAAGACGAGGTGTCAAATTATCAGAAGTGTTTTTCGCTAATAAATGTTGGTAAATGAAAGGGAAAAACTAATAGGAGAACAAAACAAAACCACGTGCGAAAAAAGTCACAACCTTCAAAAGCACGAGTTGTTACAACTTTGGGAAATCGTGTCGATAGAAGTGTTATATCATGTCATTTTTCTACGTTTGGCTGGACGGCAAGCTGGATGAGCTATAAGAGATTTCCAAGGCATGAAAGTGAAGTGATTAGTAGCAAACCGATGGGGACAAATGCATTAAAATAAAGATGGTGGTGCAAAGTAGAGGGGTCAAATCAAATCAGAAGTCAAGGCCTATGTCGCAAACAAATATGAGAATGAAATAAGTAATATTAGTGACAAATACAAGCGGAGGTAATGTCATGAAAATCATAGTGGAGGCGAAGTATGTAAGCATGTGTTTAAATGTGAAATAGCACAAAAACATGCACATGTGAAAAGTTTTTGTTTCGAGATGTAATGGAAGGGGATGCCCAGTATATCAAAATAATTTTGAACTGTCTATATTCGGGCTCAGATTATTAAAATGAGAAGTGTACGTGGTACATATATAAAACACAGACAGGCATTAGTTTAAATTTGCCGAGTATGGTGATGTACAGACTTAACGCGAATTTATACCATCTAGAATCAACACGATAATTCATGACTTACATGTATGAAACAGTATTTCAGGTAAACGTACTGACCGAAAACTTTGACAAACTAAGTTGAACAGGCAATTCAATTTGATAATACAATTTAAGGGATAGCATATAAAATCATAATTTTAGAAGAATTATGCCTCATTATGTACGATTATGTATATTTGGAAGTGATAGATTGAGGTCGAAATAGAACCAGTAATTCGGGAAAGTGTGTGAGTTGTAGCAACCAAATACGAATTAAAGAAGTATATAAAATATAAAGTACGACTTCTCATTATCTATGATTATACATATTTTGGAAGTGCGAGGTTGTGGTTCTGTAAGATAGTGAAGAAGATACATAGTCATATATATGATCATATATGCTTTGAACTTGTTAAACTGCGATTTTACCATACAGCGAAAAATATACCATGTATACGCTGATGATTCTAGAAGGATGTTACTCTTGTAATTCTAAGAGATAATGATCCGTTCTACTCTGAGTAGATCCTAAGCAAGAAAACCACAAAAAATCGGTCTGCGAGTAATGTCCTGTTCGTCGCGTGCGGTATCATCTATGATCAACCTGAGTGTTATGAGAACGCGTGTTAATATTATTATTATTATCCTTATTATTATTAATGGCTTTATTACAGTAATCTGTAATTTTGCTTTGAACTGAATGAGTCCTTTCCTCAATGAGACGAACCCCTGCGCTTGTTGTTTTTATGATCTACAGATTCCGGTCGAGAGATGCAACTATTTCATCCACAGAGTTGTTTTGGGATGAAAACCTCATGCACTTATTGGAGAAGCTTAGACAGGAGTTATCTAAAAAGACGTTCGCTGAAAACGCGTTGTCCGGTGACCTCTCGCAAACGTGGCACGGTTTCTGTCGCCGAGCCACGTCACACTTCGATATTGTGGAACAGAGGATTGTGTGAGGTATGACGTATATACAAAAAATAAGCCTAAATGAGCCCAACATCACAAAAGGAGGGAGGGTGGAGTTACTGACCAGCAAGCATTGATGGTGAGGGCGATAACTTCAATCCACCCATGTTTGTGGGGACAGAGCATTTTGTATGTACCAGGCTCTTTATAATTGAGAATAAGACAGTCAATCTGAGATATAGATTGTCTTCCTACGCTCACCACTCAGACTCATGTTTCCAATATTATGCTGGATTAGCCATTCTACTAAGACAACCTATAACATGCTAACTCGGACTTTTACACTAGGATTGCGTGGCCGACATCGGATGGACAAAAAAAGAAAAGAAAAAAGACAATAAAAGATATAGTCACTAGTATTCTTAACACTACACCCTCTATATACACACCCTTCTAATAAACCGCCACCCTTGTACCAACCTTGACTTCCTTTCCTTCATGTGAGCTTACTCCAACTTGTTAAACATCACAACTCATTGTTCTTTATTAGTACACTCTCTAATATGGAGCCTCGGACTTCACTTCACTCTAACAAGACATAATATGAATTTATTCTAATTTATTCTACCTCTGTCCGTACTACTACGCAATTTTAAGCAACCTTTGGCGTTCATATCCAAGTGCCTTGCTGCTCTTCTGTTTCTCTTTTTTTCTTTTTCAGAATCTTGCTCTGAGAGCACAGCTATGAAACTTCTGACGTTTGGAGCAAACTTGACGTACGCGTCCTCTCAAGGTCATAGTTTACAGCAAGCGCTCTACGATTTCACTTTATAACAACTATAAACTTAATAAGTTGGGAAGCATTTTGCGAACCAACAAATGTTGTAATTTATAGATCATGCCTGTAAAAACGGTGTGTACCTGCACATGCAGAAATATATTATTATTATTATTAGATGATCTAACCTTTGTCTATCGACTTTAAGTCCATGCTTGAGGATAGCCTCTTAAGGGTGTCACAAAGTTCTGAAGCATCAATAGTAAACACGTTAGGTGTCACTTACCTGTTAAACTAGCACTGTAGTCTCTTCACTTTTGCGAATAACTGTACACGTGGGGTTGTTACGTTGCGTTCGTGGAAGTTGGCTCATGCATGGCATGACTAAGCCTTGTTATTGTCAGGCCAAAACAATATTGGTGGGTAAGAATGAAAAAACTTGAGAACACAAAAGTAATATCGCAAAATGTAAAAGTATGTATAGAACGTTACGGTGAGGAACATACAGTTTTCCGTTCTGTGTACCATGTCATGCCGAGTGCACTTCTAAAATGTCATGAATATTCAGGGCTTGACAAAGTTGTTGTCGTTAACACAGTTCCAAATATAGATTCTAAAGTCAGTCAAACCAACAGTCAGAATTGAATTGTTCAAAGATATATTAGGGAGATGGTCAATTTTTCAAAGCATATACGGTTTGGGCTGAATAGTTGATGCATAGGAAGCACAACACGGCGTAGTCACACGTCGTCTAGTGTGGATGATTGACCGGCTGCCTTTAGTGCAATGCATTTTCAGAAAAAAATAATGAGGCCAGCGTCAATGCTGTAGACTTAAAAAGCTTTATTTTATCGTCTACTAAATAAGCTTGATATAGGTAAATCCACGGGGCCCGATGAATTACATCCTAGGCTACTGAAGGAATTATCTAACTTCGTTGCGAACCCCTTTAGTATATGCTTTAACCTATCCGTAACGCAGGGTCGTTTACCCAAAGACAGGAAAAGCGCCATAGCAAGTCCTGTCTTTAAAACAGGTACGAAACACAAACCTGAGAATTACCGCCCCGTTAGCCTAACTAGTGTGGTTGTTGAAATCTTAGAAAAGATTATTCGGAAGGAGCTGTTTAAGTATCTCGATGAAAACCGGATCCATTCGGAGAAGCAGCACGGTTTCAGAATAGGTTACTCTTGTCTCACTAACTTATTAGTGGCCTGTGAAAGATGGTGAGCTCTTTAAGACCAAAAGTTATGTGAAGACGTGGCCTTCATTGATTTCAGCAAACCTTTTGACAAGGTTCCGCACAACCGGCTGTTATATAAGCTAAGAAATGTTAGAATTGGAGACAATCTATTAATGTAGATAAAAGACTTCCTAGTTGGGCGCCAACAAAGAGTACGGGTGAACTCAAAGTTATCTAGCTGGGGAACTGTGCTTAGTGGAGTGCCCCAGGGTACAGTTTTGGGGCCAGTGCTATTCCTCTTGTATGTAAATGACCTTCCTCGTCTCCTATCATCATCGGTCTTGCTATATGCTGACGATGTCAAGATATGGAGAACGATACGATGTAAGGGTGATAGCTTAGAACTCCAAAATGACATGAAGAAATTATCTGAATGGTCTGAAACCTGGCAGTTGCCGATAAATACTTCCAAGTGTGTTGTGATGCATATCGGTCATCAAGGTACAGATACATACACGATGAATAACACTGAGCTACCTGTCATCCAGACATATAGTGACCTGGGAGTCATCGTTAGCCAAGACTTAAAGACTACTGCACACTGCCGTGCAATAGCCCCCAAAAGTTTTAGAACGTTATGGTCAATACGTAGGGCTTTTAGTCATGTCGACGCTAAGACGTTTTTGACTTTGTATACAGTGTTCGTACGTCCTAAACTTGAGTACTGCATACAAGTGGCCAGCCCCTGCCTGAAAAAAGACAGTGAGCTTCTGGAAAAGGTTCAGAGGACAACAACTAAGCTGATTCCCGGAGTAGCGAAGCTTCCGTATGAACCTCGACTGGCCAAGCTGAACCTTTTCCCGTTGTCATATCGCAGAACCAGAGGCGACTTGATTACAGTTTTCAAATTGCTTAGTGCCAAATTTGCACTTGATATGCCCTCATTTTTCGTGTCTTCCAAAACAGAGAATTTACAAGGACACTCCAAAAAAGTTCACAAGCCAAGAACAAATTACTTGTCATCTGACTATCGACATTCCCATCGAATCATCAGCGAGTGGAACTCATTACCTCAGCACGTGATTGAGGCTCCATCTGTCGACTCTTTTATAAGAAAGTTGGATCAACTGAGAGACCACCACTGCCAGGACTAACACAGGCCATCAGGCCTCCTGTCCTTCCCAAACTGAAACTGAAGCTGATATACCTTCACAGGCTTGTCATGTGAGAGGACCCAAAATGTAACTGAAGAGTCATACTTAGGCAATAACTTAAATTTAATGATAAGATGGATACAAATTCTTTGCTTGGTCACCGTCCGGATAACTACAACTGCCCAAACAATACTATCGTTCCAACGAACCGTATAAACAAATATCTCAAGCCAACGGTCGCTTCTGTCTTATCGTTACTAGTGTTAAAGTAGTCATTAACAATGGCCTATGCGAACTGAGATTATGGTTATAAGAAAATTTCCTACGGAATCAGTTTTCATCAACCATCTCCACAACGTTAACTGTCGTTGCCACAGAGATCCTTTATTTGGGCGCGCGAAGCAGTCATGGATGGATTTGACTCTGAAACTTATGTTATAACTGGTCCTTTGCGGAATTTTTCCATTAGGTATCAAATAGATTAATTTTCTAAATCAGGGTTAAATTGTTCTGTCGGCGGAGTAAGGCAGAGGAGCAGTATCTGGAAGAAGAGTATGTGTTTCATTGGCAGGAAAAGATTTTCAGTCCAGTAAGTGTGTTCAAGAGTAAAAACGTTGTTAGTAATGTTAATTGTTTTGTGAAAAAAACTAAAAGAATTAAGAGAGATGTGTCCAAGCTGTATGGAATATATTCCAAACATAAGTTTATGTAAACTTAAATTTATTGTTTAGTAGGTATATATGGCCTTAAGCTGGAGAATCATCTTATTTCATGAGGTTTTGGAAAGTAGGCACAGAAAAACCGATCTGGTCCTCAAGTAACTTTGAAAGACCAAGAAGTTTTTCATCCATTTAGTTACGTGGTACCTAACAAGTAAATGCAATTTAGTTTTGGTTAGGGACATCGTCGAGTATCATTCGATTATGTGGCATTAAGAATGGTTGACTGGGGTGCACTTCAATGACTTTCAAATATATTGTGAATCATATGTTAGTGCATGCACTTTTTCTGTTTTTGGTAATCTTGAAACTTATCGAGTAACGAGTCATGATTTATATCCAGAAAACTACTATACACGCTTTTATAAGCGATAAGAAAGACCGTCATCAGACGTTTTCCGTGATAAATATATTATTCTCAATAACGAGTAGGAATTACAACTTACGATTGACCATCAACACTATTCGTGTCTCCTTTGACTCAATCTTTATAATCTGTGGTTTTTAGAGCTCTTCAGAAAAGGTACCAGTAACGACTTCGGCAACTAAAGAGGCGCAATTAATTTGCAAATAAATGCCTATCCATCACAATGCAGTTTTTGTGTCTACGCTATAGGAAATCCAAACACTCATACTATTTGCCAATTTTGTCGAGAAGTAACCATTGGCAAAATTGTGTGGTACAAGCATGTGTTTATGGGTGACTCAGTAGAGTTACTCGACAAATATATAGTCTTCACAGAGTTTGATGCTATCGACGCATCTGAACCCCTGTTAAGCAATAGAAGTAATGCTATTATTCCTCGAAGTCCATCCCCTAATATCGGAGAACGTCTACATTAGCGTTGATAATGATGTACTGTCGGCATTTTACGTTGTATAGAAATTTGTCATAGCTTTTGCACGGTGCTCCGTCTTGGAATTTGCAAAATATATGAGAAATTCCCAAAGATACATTCTCTAAAACATTTCACATGTGTACTTGTTGATTCATGTAAGGTAATGAAGTGACTTTTGAAAGTAACAGAGTTCAACTATCGACTCGAAAAGCTTAATCATTAGAACGGAAGTACAAAGTTACTAATACGCGAATTCGATCATTTAAACTATGAATCCTCAAGTTTTTACGTACATCTTGTGGTCAGGATAGTGCCTTTATAGGTTGAAATGTAGCTTTAACGAAACTTATTTGATTTCTTAGTTTCATTAGTTTTCAGCACTTTGACTTTTGAAATTGTACTTGTATATCTGGTGATGATTTAAAAACTCTGAATGTTTCAACCTGGAAACCGATAATGCAGTCCACAAAAGAATTATTGGATTAAGATTAGGTATTGCTTCACCTAGTACCTCAATTTATCAATCCAATAGAAATCTATGTGTAAATTTTAAAGAAATTAATTCGTAACGTCCGCATTTCACGACCCAGCAGTATCAGATGTCTACAAATAATCTGCCACACAGTGAGAAACCTATATAAAGATGATAACCAGATGTAGTTGGTGACCAAGTTTAGGATATTCCGAATGGCAAACTCACAACAAACACTTGAAGTGCATCGATTACTTCTTATTGGATGATTGATGTTATTGTTAACTACGACAGTTCCTGTGTGTCACTATAAACTAAGTGTGTTCCCCATGACAAGGTACGTACTAAAATTAACAAAAAAACTAGAAAAAGAATATCTTTGTATATTGAGAGGCGAGAAACAGGTTCAACATCAGAATCGAGTGGATTATTCTGAACAATAGGTGCACTACTACATTCCAGTGATATGAAGCTAAAACATCAATGCAACATTACCTCGCTCTCCTTTTCAAATAAAGCTAGATTAAGATTTATGGCTATAGAACTAGATCTACCTTCAGATCAAAGGCTTATGGTGTGGACCCCCAACGAAGCCATCTGCTTCAGTTTGGGCACCCGGGCAGTATCACAGCCCTCATATAAGTCAATGATAACTGCTACCGGCCCCATTATTATTGTGTGACACATATGTATTTAGTGCCCTCTTGTATCAATGTTTATGGGTCCAAATAAAATAATATATAGTAATAAAATATTTGAAGATCAATGTTTCTTAATGATTATGGTCGCACTATATTTCAGTGAAGACAGCAATTGAAGCATTAGCACCCATCTAAATTTAGAAAACATAATCTCCCAGATGTTGCATTACAACGATTAATATATATAAGATGTATTTTTCCACCTTTTTGATGCTTTTACGAAATCTCCATATCTAACTTCCAATTTTGTAGAAAGAAAAGGCTCTTTATAGGGACCGGAAAAATTGTACGACTGAAACGCAACTACTTTACAACAAGGAAATAAGCAATATGAAGTGAGTCCGAATTATTCTAAAAATATACGAAGAGGTTCAGGATTCCCAACAAAAAGATTATTTACTTATGTCCATAAGGACGAAATATCAGTAGAAAGAGACGTATGTAATATTTTTGTTATAGATTTTCTTAGATATTCGTGGATGGCATTGGAACTATCTCATATCCTGAGAAACGAAGATCTAACATCCAGTTAAAACTAGACAATCTATCGAAGTAAGTATTAATTAATCAGTGTCGAAACCTGAAGTCCTATGCCAACAAATGAAATGTTGTTGGAGTTTCCTCCTGACTATTATAGATACGTTAGTCATCTACCTACTAGAATAACCCAAGAGATGTATATAATGGCCGATTTAAGTAGTGATATTCCAAATGATGCTGCAGACTTATCGCCTCTTTATATGGGCAATGAAGAAATCCTCTGCAAGATAACTATTGATTCTAATGGACTTTTACGTTGCAAACCTGATTTTACTCGCGGGTCTGTTAAGTACAAAATAAAAAGCAAACAAAAAGGTTTAATCTGCTACTGGCAAATGTATACTCTTAGGGTCATATTATTTTACGTTGGAAAATATTTCACTTCAAATGTCTGATCTGGACAAACAGAAAATAAGAAACATGGATAAAGAGGTGGATTTAGAACGTAACTTTAACTCAATATGTAGATAACACTTCGAAAATATTCTCACTTTTGTGCCTCCATCGGCAAACAGTTTGAAATGGTATGTAGTCGATCAAAATTCTAACATATGCATAGCCAAATGAACAAAGTTACAGGCTTTTTATCGCTGGAGAGATAAGTAAGTTATCTTTTAATAGTTATTTTAGTGGGTGCGACTAACTTTGAAAACCCTGGATTGTATGTACAATATTATCTTGAATTACCACAAAGTGAATTCGTACTTAATAGAACCATATTATTTCAGACTGGAAAGCGTATGATCATAAGCTATTATGTGGAAGTTCCCAGATAGCCTCTATCAAAAATTATGGAAACGTAAGTCAACTCTGATATCTGTATACCATTGGATTAGATATAAAATATCTTAGTTTATTTTAATGATGGTATGCAGACTAAATCGTTACATTTCGATTATCCAATATGATTTGTACTGATTTTTAACTGTAGGCTCCTTCTACAGAATCATCATGGTATGCATATGTATCGAAGTTTCCAACTGAGATTTTTGGAAAGCATTGAAAGAGTTCGATATTTTGTAAAGGAAGAAATTCTACGAAAGTGAAATACAAACTTTGTTACCTTTCTGATTGAAATAAACCGACTGGCTCTGACAACTTATTTCCTAACAATTTTTTACTTTTACATTCTGAAATTATCTCTTTTAGGAAGAAATAATTATGTTTTCGCATCCGATCGAATTTGACCTAACATATAAACCTGAAATAAGTATCGGTAAGTAAAACTAACATATACAGGATATTGCCAAACTGTTGCACACTTCCAAAAAAATCATATTTAATTGTATAAATCAATAATGTATTTGTTATATTTCCTCTGTTAATGTGCATGTTGACTTGGTTGTGTCCGCAATCTTACCGCTTTTACTTGGAAACGCGAACAACTGCAATTCCCACAGCGCGAATTAAAAACACAAAACACTGATGGAATTAAGATTCATTATTTCCCAAAAATATGTCTTCAAACAAGTCGTCATTGGACCAAAATTCAGTAACTTACATACTAATTTTTACACTCAATAATATAACACATAGGGGAAACTTCGTCGAGTACTTGATACAGTTTACTTTAATGGATGCGGGAAATACAATCGTCCCACTGAACGAAGTTCACACCCGTCGCCCTGATCGAAATTTATAATGAACTGATGCAAGAAATATTGACCTAAATAATGTCATATTTTTATCTGAGCATGTCAACACTGGTTTAGCGTAAATACATGTCAAAAATACTCGCTTTATTCAATATGGTACGAATGGATACTGTATGAAGATCTCAGAATGTGTAATTGAAGCAACGACCTTAATACTATATCCTAGTGAAAAATATAAATATATAATGGAAGAGAATGAGGTTCATGAATAAAAAGCATTTGCAAGAGGAATTAAGAGTCATTTACTTTCAACTTTAAATGGTGTGAGTTTATTCTATTCTTTGTCGATCGCACAAACCATCCACTAAACCAAGGATAATCAAATTATTGTCTGTGACTTTACGTGGACGTCATTTTCATCTATCTAGATCTTATTTTACAAAATGGTGAATAATAGGAAATCTTTTGAAAAAGCAGCCCCTTGAGATCCGTGTAATAATAATAATGATATTTTTTTAAATCAGGCGGAACTAAGGCTAAAAAAATGCAGAAGTAAATAATATGTCAAACCAACAGAATACATAAAGTGTTTGGAAGTGTAGTTTTTCACATAATTAATAAGAGAAATGTTTTAAATAACAGTTCACTGTGAAAACACCGGTAATGACTAAATGAAAACTTGAAACCAAGATGAGTGATATACGTTTCTAAGCAACAGATCATGTAGGAGTAAATACCACCAACTTTATTTACAGAGATATATGTTTAAAACACTTTAATCCTCTTCTAGACTTAACGAAAGGACCAGTTTCAATATGGCCTACACTGTATTTTGAAGTCCAGTCGCTTGACTTTTGGACTCGGAGTCGAACTGAAGGGTATGGATTCACAGAACTTCCGCGCATTGCTGGTAAGATTAAATAAATTTTCTCGGTTTCATAGACTCTGAGTAGGAAACACTTGCGAATACTAAAATGTCAAGTAATCTTGAATAAATACACGCAAAAACATCTCAGACATTTGTGACATGCAACTTGATTAATTCCATTTGTCTGTCTATAGTAACCCATTTGACTCAAAAGTCATGTCACTGAAGCATGAAATGTACACAAAAAAATAAAAGAATGAATAATACTTGTACATTGGTGCTTCTCTAGGACATTCCAATGTTTCTTACAAAGAAAAAACTCCATATTAGCTGACAGCATGACAGTTAACGATCCGTTAGAACTCAGCCCATTTTAGTTGGATTTCGCATCCTAAAGCTATCTCTGACTACTTAACATTGTGACTTATTAAAAAGCGACATGTTTTGGTACATTGATTTAATAAACGTTATGATGTGGAGACAGAAATATTACGAATATATGAAGTTCGGCAGAGTATCGATTATCATTGAATTTTTCTTGAGTTGTGAGTTAATAACATCAAAAGCCCAATGGGACGCGTAAAATTATACTATTTACTTTTTGCAGGTGCTCACTCAATTATTGTGAGTTGTTGGCGCCCAGTAGGAGATTCTGTTGTAGAGGAACTAAGAAGATTTTTTATAGGTGGAACATGCCAACTAGAGGACCCCACATTTGCCAAAATACCTGGATCATTTGAAGTGAGTATGAAACGCAACACGATTACATACTTGATGGAAAATCCCAACACGAAATTAGTAAACGATGCTACGCTGAAACTTTTTCTTAGATGGATAATGCTCTTAAAACTGAGAAGTCATGTTTACATTTAATATTGCCTGTCAAATTATAGGTGAACTGATAATTTTTCGTTTACTCTGTTGGGTTTATCGATAATGATCATGAATGCAATCGACATATAATCCTTCCAATTAAATTGACTTTTGTAGATTTCAATAAATGAAGCTTTCCCGTTCAAATGAAAGACGCTATTGCCTCGCTTACTGGGAATGATTTATTACAAAAAAAACACCTTATAAATGAATCCCGAATTTTTAAGAATCATCTCGTAACACACTATGTGGGAGAGCTGATGGACATACCGAGACTAGGGAATGATTATCGCTTCTACAGTCTATGTTGAGTAGTGTGAAAAGTTATGACAGACTAACCATTTGAATTATGGAAAGATGTTTAGACACAAATAAAAGCTAGTGCATTTGAGCCTGGTTTTAGCTGGATTATATAGTTCTTATACATCGGTTCTTACTCACAACACAATGTCCTCCAAAAATACTGGATACCTTAACGAATCATCAATGAACATTAGAATAACCACATTTTGTTGTCTTGCGCAAATTGATCGAAAGCCACTTAACAAGACGCAGTTCGTAAAACATTGAACAGGAGCATTTTATATACAAACTTTCTTTTATGCGACTACTGACAAAATTGTATCAGTAGCTGCACACTTCCCAGTATAAGTGCTTAATTTGTGTAGAAACCATAAACTTATATTCTACATTAGTTCTCACTTCTGCGGTCACAGAAATCTCAGCACGGATAGAGAAGGATCGACTAGCTTTTGCCAACTTGCGTCATTTATGGCGTAGACGAGATATCCGTCTGCCAACCAGAGGACGAGTTTGCTGTGCAGCAGTTCGTTCCATTCTACTTTATGGCAGTAAAATATGGCCAGTAAGAGTAGAGGATATTCGTAGGTTACTAGTATTTGATCATAGGTGCCTTCGAAACATTGCTCGTATATCCTGGGACCATCGAGTAAGTAACGCAGTTGTTAGCAAAAGGGTACTAGGTAAGGATGGCAAACCAATTGATGAAATAGGGAAACTTCATCAGTTGAGATGGCTGGGACACGTGCTACGTATGCCCAACCACCAACTGCTTCGATGTGGGATGTTTTGTTGTATAGGAGTAGATTGGAAGAAAGCTAGGGGCGGCCAGACCAAAACATGGCACAAATCCATGAAGTCACTGACAAGTGGACTGAGCCATGTTGGTAGGTGTAGACTACCTGGTTGGGATTCGCGAGACGATAGCAACCGATGGTTAGAGACCCTGAATGACATAGCTCAAAACCGTTTGCGATGGCGCAGGTGCATCCACTCTTTGTGTTCTCCCAAATTCTAATCTCCTGATTCCTCGTTGTCTCTTCCCAAATCTATTTCACTGGATTATACTCTTTAAATAACATCTCCAAACCCTAATCTTCCTGATTACTGCTTATACACTTACCACCTCTACCACTACGGGATTTTAATCGATAACTGCATCTCTGTGCTAATGTGGTATGGCAACTCGAACTGACGTACGTATGTACGGAGTTCTACGTTGTTACTGACTGACCCTGCGGTCACAGATCTCAATCACGAGGATGCGCCGAAGATTTTCTAAGACATAATCAAACTTATCAAATTCATTATCAATAAGTTTGTTTCAAACAACGTACAAAATTTAAAGTGAGCGTCGACAATGTTATTCTAAAATGATGAGAATCTGAAAAGACATTTTTACAATCTACAGTTGAGCGGTCACCATCCAGTTTCAATGTAAAGCAGTGTCTCATCTTAAGGTAGTTGTAGACTGGTTTGTATCGACAGTAAAATTTAATTCACTCAATACTCCACTCATGGACCGACACCGAATTATTAGTGTTGAAGTTGGTTTACAAAAATATTTCTTTTCACTTATCTGGTGGCCATTAAGATGGTGAGACCTCGGTCATTAAGGTGGATGGAATTTCTGAATTAACCGTTATAGGTACAAACATTAAATACATAAGTCCGTCCCACTTAGTACAATTTATAAAATGCTTTATTTATTACTAGATGTCCATGCTTGTTTGCTTAAAACGACTTTCCCTACCTTTCCAGAGCAATAACCTAGCGAAATATGGATTTCGTACAAAAAGCACGGGAAAACTATTTCTGAATCTAAATTGTGCAATCCAAAGCTGGTAAGTAGCCAAACAGCGCTAGAATTATTGAAAACTAATCTTCTGTGCACATTCCCATTACCTAACTGCAGTGATCTTTTTAAATCAATATCCATCAGCTGCTCTTTTTGTTTGCAAGCGGGACTACTCCATTTTCAATCTGCAGACATCCATCCGTTTTTTACAAGATAAATAGTAATCCATACATTTTTAAAATTTACTTTTGAAGAGCTTGTGACACTGGTTATAGTAAGCAACAAGACCTTGATCCAAAGAATGAATGCACCTATTCCATTGCGAGCGATTCTGAGCCATGTCACGCCAAGTCTCTAACCATTAGTTACAATAATCACGCGAATCCCAGCTGGGGAGGTCTACACCTAATAACATAGCTCAGTCCAATTGTTGATGGCTTCATCAACTGGTGCCAAGTCTTAGTTTTGCTACCCAGAGTTTTCTTCTAGCCTACTACTATACCTTAAATGGCCCGTAGAGGTAGGGGGTGTTTAGGGATACGTAACTCATATCCTCACTATTTCGATCGATAAAGATTTAATACCTCGTCAGTCGGTTTGCCGCATTTACCTAGTATACGAGCAATAATCCTAGCAATTGGACTTCCAATTAGGAAATTCGCTACCTTATTGATACGATACTATAAATACACCATACACTTGTCAGTAAGCAAAAAAGTTTGTAGAATGAAGATATTTTCTATTCAGAAATTATACTAAATGGTAGGTAACAATAATAAATTTGTGCAGAATAAAAAGCAGTTTTGTCGTGAGAAGTGAAACTAAGTTTTTTTTACATGCAGGTCCAATCTATACAGGACCATGAGCAGATGTCCAACAACGGGTGATGAGAAGCAAAGAAGGTAGGTAGTCTCTATTTGAAGATTAATAAAGAATGTTTTTACAGGATAGCACTTGCACACATGGATGTTTCAACGATAATAAGTAGGTTATACTTTAATATACGTCCTTATTCAATATTCAGAAGCATACCAAAAAGCTCGTTCAAAATTACTGGAAACCAGGAAAGTTATAGAAGGTTTGGGGAAAGTCAATTTTTAATATTACTTGAAGAAACAATAATAATTATGCATTACCTCCACGACTTGGCTTTTGCAAAATCCTTATTTGTATAATGGATTCTAAGGGGGGATGAAAACGACACTAGATATCGGATCTTTTTATTTTCGAAGACTCTCCTCGACAGTAAGGGCAATACCATTTACCCTTAGGTTGAACCCGGACATCTACACATGAGAAGTGAAACCATTCAACCTCACAGAACTTGTTGTCGCAAGCTATCATATCGCCAAATGATACTTTTTGGCATATACAATACAGACGCTCATCTGGGCTGACGCTTGCTTCACTCATACTATGACTAGGGCTGTTTTCCGATATTACTTTGTGTCGAAATGCATTCATATCATCAGCATGTGATCCATACTTAAATGAATTTCCTGGAGGAGACCGTGTGTTTACTTGAAGATCCATTTTGTGACGTACGGTGTTATTACTTCGACATCCTCGCCTAGCGTTGCCGTGGCTAAGACTCTGAGATGTTAAACAATTGCGATTAGATCCATGTTCTGGTGATGCAGGTGGGAAAGATGAATTGGGTCTGTGATACGATTGTGTTGACTGTACATTGTTACTAGCTCGTCGGAGTCTATACATCTTTTGACGACTTGGTTCACCACTTTGAGCGTTTGTTAGTTGATTAGTTAGTGTTCTGATGACTTGTGTTTCCTGCGAAGAACAGTTTTGATCACATCCCATGTCATATGTGGTATGACCATTGCTGTCACTACAATCTACATCAGCCGCATTTTCATTTTCATTATAACTGCTATTCCAATCAGATGACCTATCTCCCAACCTTTTTGGGCTCTTTAAACTAAGTAGGGTATATACATCACTCTCTTCTGTTTTATCTTCAATATTTAAATCACTTATTGATTTACTAGATGAACCAAAACAATTGTCGTTTTTGTAAAAGCTAGGATGGCTTTGTTCATGTCGTCGCTTCACACTACCTACGAGATTTGTTTCCTCACAATTTCGAGAAGAGTCGGGATTAGTATATTTCGACACCGTATTTCTTCTCTTCCGAGAACCATGTCTCAGCATAGCGTACTCTAAGTACTGAGGTCTTGCACGGTTCGGGTGAAGTGATCTTGGCAATACACGATGACTTTTGAATCTCTGTTGTTGACTTCGAGAGTAACGAGTATATGTTACACCCACTTTATGTTGTTTGAGTTCCACTGAAGTCCTATTTGTTGACTTATTGTTAGCATCACCTTTGGACTTTAAAGAGTTGTTGGCATTTCTATTGCCCATTGAATTAGTAGGCTTGAAGCGATGAACGCCGGGAACCCATTTATTCAGTGATCGACGTGATGCAGTTCGACTATTAGTGCTAACAGCACGTAATGGGAAGCGTTCTTTACCTCGTATGCTTACATCACTACATCGTGTGTTTGGTATAGAGTAGCTAGTGCACTTATCGAAACTTGATTCCTGAGATAAGTTGCGCCGTAGTAAATTGCAATTGTATTGGGGATTAGACACTTCTAGATCACTGGTATCGACTTCACTTTCAGGGACATTTTCCGTATTTGAACGAGTACGTTGAGGATCGATTGTATCAACTTTCATTTTAGCATTCATCAGCTTTAAAGAATGGGTTTCAATTACTTCATCTAACTGAATAAATTTTTCAAACAAAATTTTAAAAAGTGTAAAAGGATTGTGGTAAAATCAGACATGAAAATTTTTTGTGGAAAAAAATATCAAATTTCGTAATTTACATAGATTTAAAAAGTTATATACGGTAGCTCATGACAACTAGCATACAGTGACAAATCTAGTTGTCAACTCCTTGACATTTGGCAAGTCTAAGACACAATCTCATATTCTCAAGAAATAATTAAGCAAAATGAGAAACAACAAATAGTTGAGTGAAAGTGGTAAACATATCATTGAACCAGTCATCGATATGTTAAAATCCTTAATGTGCATCATAACTACATTTTACACCAGCACATCCAGCAATTTAGTGACGAGAGAGAGGTTATTATTATTTACTGCAGTGGAAACCTAAGTACAAGTTAAGAAGGGATGAATGAGGTCGATGAACGAAGAGTACACATTGACAAAAAAACTTGACATTTCTACGAAGTGTGTTATGAATAACATGCCCAGTGTTTGAGTTTTAAGTGAGCGGGAATACCCCATAAAAGTAATTATTTATCGGAGCATTTCATTGCTAGGGGATTTTAAAAGAAAAATCTGTGATACTAATAAGTAGCATGAACGAGATAACTGCAGGGAACAAATGTTTTGCTAAAAATTATGTATGGTGTGAAATTATCACCTTTCTAAATCGTAGTAGAATATTTCAAGCTAGGTAATAATTGCACAGTGATCATGAGTCAGACTTTGTCAACGGGTACATCATTTTACTAAAAGGATTCCATTCTGTTGGGATATGTTGTCCTTTCATCAGTTCACTGGTGAGTTTGCTTAAAAACCGTTTCGTGAGAAGCCATCAGTCGAACACACCATATTATTGTACATCACTTATCTATGAGAACCTTGTTGATTATTTTAACCTATAACGTGTTAATCATCAAGGCAACATTCAAAACAGTATACTAAGTGCTTTCACTTAGAAACACCAGGTTCACAGTTCCGACATATTTTACAAGCGTCGTCTTAACAACTCTCCATATTGTTCATTACTTACTGACATGTGTGTAAATAACAAAGGGGTTCAACTTATAACAGCTCTGAAAAATAGTAAAGTTATTTTCGATTAGCTTCTTAGCTTAAACTCTTGAAGATCATGTGATTTAATAGTTTGGGGGGGATAATTAGACGTGAATTCAAAAATCAGTAATTATGTTGCTGTATTTTTTAATGTTACTCAAGAACAATAAGATGTACCTTCGTATTGAGCAGAATGTATATTGGTTGTGAACTGTATTCTTCAACACTTCCTAATCGCGTACTGAATCTAAATTTTGTCTTTTACTGTTTTTCCACAACTGTCCTTCAAGTGATGAGTATCTTGGTGTCCCATTACATTGAACGTCCCCTAGTAACAAATATAGTCCATTTTGGAGGCGGTTAGTATTGTGTTAATTCTGAGTTTGGGATGTTGTGCATAGTTATGGTACTTGGTGTTTTTTTCAACATTGGTTGATTACTTTGATAATGACTTTTAATAACATCCGATTTGTGGGTGGATAGGGAGTAGCTAACGACTAGTTGGACGTTCCCAAAAAGCGTTCTACCTATGGCTTTAGTTTCTTATTTTCATTACAAATTATATCTAGAAAACCAATAAAACGGATTTGTTTACTCTCCTTTGATGTAAATATTTTCGCGTCAGATCTAGTTACGTGAAATGGTCCTTGGGGGTAGGGATAGAATTTGGATGTTTGAATTAATGGTTTGGTCAAACGTTTTAACGACTGAGTCAGTTTGTTTCGACGATAGATAAACAACACGCTGTGCCACGATTAATATTAGGTCTACACAACTGCCACTTTCAGAGCCAATCGTGATAAGCTTCCGAACTCGTCACATCATCTGTCTTCTTTACTAAAGATTTTATTACTACTACCACAACTGCTAGTACCACTTCAGTAGTTATCTTGGTAATTACTTTTTTGTATTGAAGTGAATTCAGATGATGCATATAAGACACGTTTAATGTTTCTCCTGGCTGACTGCTTTTCAGATGCCACCTGAATCTGTTTCAAATAAATAGTTGACACTGACATTTGAAATAAGCAGTGTATTCACTTTGTGTTTATCAGGGTATGGCAACTTGGACCGATACATATATGTGTCTGGTCCTACGTTGTGGCTGACTGACTGACTGAGGGTAGGTCAACTGACACTATCTGGAATTGACCACATATTCCAGAACCCCGAAACAACCTCTACTCCAAAGCGACAATATTAGACCTTTAACCTGAACTTGATAATTCCCAGAAAACTAGTGGTCGCAGGAAAGATGTAGCAGACGGTTATCATAACAACTTATTTGTGTTAGATGTCTCTGTTAATTGCACTAGCTCCCACACACAATTACATATGATCGCTTATTCAGAAACTGAACAAGCAACCTGTCTTTCGACCCTTCTAAGTTTTCAAAATACCATTCGGTCGAACACAGCAGCAACTATTGGGTGATATTAACTGCAGAGGTGTCTTATTTTTCTATCTAGTGCGAAAGCCAGAATGCCAGTCAAACACCCGGAAGAGAAAAATTGTGAGACGGTGACTCAGTGGTTATGATGCTTGACTTCCGGACACTAGATAGCAGGTGTGAATCCAGATTTACTTAATAAAGCTCTGGAAAAACGAATAATATCACCAGGCCTCACACTTGGAGTGAAGGAGAGCCGAGTATGTGAATTCGTTCATAGTCGATGAGTCAATAATAGGAAAACCACCGAGAATAGATATTAGACAAGTTCTACAGAGATTCCTAAATAAACGTCAGACATTTGCAGCAAATTTTTGGACTTACTTCATCCAGATCATTGATTCGACGGTCGCATATGTTTTGGATCGCAACTAAAACATATATGAGTTGGTCCAAATTCTTCCTTTTGGTACTATGCTCCATGGACTTTTGCATTTCATCCACAGTGCGCCTAGCTAGCGCTAGTAAGTGACGTTGTTGTAGATCTGACTGAAGGTATGCGGTTATTCTGGACTGTATTTCCAAAGGAAGGATCTGAAGTGAGTCAACGTAGCAACTAATAAGTGAGTCCATCCCATCTAGTTGCATAGTGATGACGGAAATGAATTAAAACTCCAACGTTTTTGTGAGAAATGCTTCATATGGAGTTAAAGTGGTATGAATGAGAGTAAACAGCATCAATTGCCTAAAGCCAATATGTATGATGCAATAAATTCCATGCTTACGACATGCATATTGATCGTCCCTTAGTCATTTTTATCTGCGGCAAACACAGTGTAAGACAAATCAGATCAGTTCATACAGTCTATGGAGATATTGTGAAGTGATGTCCAAACCCTCTGACAGAAAACTCAGTACCATTTGAATGCAAGTGCCCGATATAAACCTTTGACGGGCAACCTTGAGAAGGCAAATGTCTTCGAGAAACTAAAACACACCAGACTCAGAACTATATAGTAAGGACTGAAGGCCTACGGCTTATGTTGTTCCTTTTCTAGTATGCTTCTGTGAGTGTTTTGTTTCCTCTTGAATCAGTCAGGTGAATGTATTTTATCCGATCTAGGCTTTTCTACTCACCTGCTATGTCCTCTGAGATGTCTAGATCTAGTGGGAAGAAAAAGAGAAAATATGTTAGGTCCAAAATCATTCTTTAGTATAATTAACATCAAAATCAAATCGCCTCTTATTCTGCAGTAGGACATGGTAAGGAGGTCCAGCTTTTCAAGCCGCTCTTTGTATGGTAAACCCCGGAGTTCTGGAATTGCACGGGTAGCTGCCCTCTGTACGTTTACCAGGATATCCGAGTCATCTTTTAAACAGAGGCTTGCAGCCTAAGCGCAGTTCTCAAGCTCAGTTCTCACTAAGATTGTGTATACTGTAGTGAACATGGCAGTATCAAACTTAGTGGATGTCTGTCTTAAATCCTATAGGTTTCTAAACCCTTTAGCTTTAATTTCCCGGCAATGGGCCGTGGTCTTAAGATCATGACTGACTGCCACCCTAGGATCCTCGTGAGACCAGAACACGGGTACAGTCACTTCCCCTATGTTGTACCTATTTATCTTTGTATCCCCAAAGTGCATGTAGACACACATTGCCGCGTTAATAGTTATTAACCACTCTTTAGACCAGTTAATCACAATATTTAAGTCTACCTGAAGTGCACATCTATTTGAGTTTCCTTTTATTTCTCTCCAGATTTTTACATCGTCAGCGTATAGTAACACGCTTGGGAGATCATTTACGCACAAAAAAGTGAGGGACCTAGGACAGAACCTTTAGGTATTCCACATATTACTGGTTTCCAGGTGGAGCACTCTTAATTTACTCGTACTTTCTGTATACGACCTACTAGGAAAGTTTTAAACCATTTATGGAAAGGTCCAGCAACGCCAAGATTTTTTTGGCTCCAATAATACTCTATTTATTGTCACCTTGTCAAATGCTTTGCTTAAGTCTATGTAGATAGCATTCACTAATTTTCCATCCTCTAGAGCCTTTATCCATTGCTCCCTTGCTTAAAGAAGGTTTGTTGTGCAAGATAAAGCTTTCTTGAAACCATATTGTTCTCCCTTTAGGGGGTTGTTATGTTTCACAAATGTTACTATGGTCTTTTTGACTATTCTTTCCAGTATTCTAACTACGACACTGGTGAGGCTGACAGGTCTGTAGTTCGATGGAAGTTGCTTTGATCCTGTTTTATGTATAGGAATGACGATTGCATCCATCCACTCAATAGGTAGCACACCTTGGTCACGTGACATATTGAATATCACAGTTATTGGGGCTGAAATATATTGTGCAGTCCGCCTCGGGATTTGAGGGATTTAGTTCATCCGGTGCTGTTGACTTTCCCGTATGTAAGGTGTTAAGAGCCTCAAGTACATCATCTTGTTCGAAGTCCACGGTGAGCGGCCGGCATGTCGACTTTGTATTTGGGTCTAGTCCTTCCTCTAGAAGAGGATCCAGGGTGAAACCGCCCCAAAAGAGTTTGCCATTGCTTCTGCTTTTTCGTGACCATCCTCTATCATTTCAGATTCACTCTCTTCATTAATTAGGTTGGGAATCCAATGATGCATCCTTGTTCCGTAATTTATATACGAGAATAGTCTCTCGGGCTGACTGAGTGCATATTGTGCCAACTGCACTTCATATTTTCCCTGAGCTTCCCGGATTTAATTATACATTTATTTCTTACCGCCCTGTAACGTTCCACAGTGCTTACTGCGCCAAGGCTGATGGCAACGTTCCAACATTTCTTATTTTTTCTTAGCAAACGTCGAATATCCCGGCCTATCCAAGAATGACCGTGCTTCTTCTTCTTTGGGACTGTTCGGGATATGTATGGATGGGTGTGGTGTTTGAATGGACTAATGATACTTTTGTACTGGTTGAATGCTTGATTTTGAATTCTAAATACAATACATTCGTTGGTGCCTGTGTCTTCTTAATTCATTTGCGTTAATGCTGGAATTCCTAATTCATACGGTAATTAGAATACTATATTGGCGTCGTGATGGAACCTGCAATGGAAAAGTTGCATATTCATTCAACTTCGGAAGCATTTGATGATTATTTGGAAAGGTTTGAAATCTGGAGCATGACTAAGAAAGATGTCAAAGGTGATAAAATCGTGGCACATTTCCTGACATTCATTGGGAGAGAAGCTTACAGCTTATTAAAAACTTTGGCATATCCAGAAAAACCTATCTCACTCCCTTATGCAACTATTAAAGAGCTATTGTTAAGTCATGTAAAATGCACCAGTTTTGAATGCCGTGAAAGGGCGAAGTTTCATAAGATGGTTCGTCAAAATGACCAAAAGGCTCAGGAATTCATCCTTGAATTACAGAAACAAGCTGCCAAGTGTAATTTCGGTGATCAACTTCATGTGCAACTGAGAGATCGATTAATTGCAGGAATTAACATACCGAGTTTGGAAAGAGAGCTGTTAAAAATGCCAAACTATTCCTTTCAAGATGCTAGGACTGTGTGTATTAACTACGAAGCAGTGAATGAACTTGATATCCAGTCGACGAAGATTTCTGATAATTTGCTTAGTCGTCATGATGAACTACAATCTCAGGGTCAATCAAATTTGCGTTCATTTAACAGTGATTCCTATTCTCGTGTAAATATGAAAGGTGTTTCAACGACGAATTACAAAGCGAATCACTAAGGTGGGATGAAGTTTGGTAAATGTTTATCATGTGGAAAGTTTCATGCTCGCAATCCATGTGTATTTCGTCATGCTGAATGTTTTAAATGTGGTAAGGTAGAACACATTCATTCAGTATGCAAAGCTATTGTCCATTTTGCTTCAAGCTGTACTAAATCTTGTAATTTAAATTTAAATAATTCGGATGTTTCTAATGATCATTTATCTTTATCAACGATTTCAAAAGACAGTGCAGAGTCATATGACAGTTCAGAGTTAGATGAAATCCATAATTCTTGTGAGACAACAGTTCCTAATCAACCGATTTATCAGAATTCTCATGCTATTGTACCAGGTATGACTTTTCCTAATGATTCACATATTTCTAATGAAATTACTTGCAATATTGAGGAAAATATGTTAAATGAACCTAATCATGATTGGAAACCTGATGTGGTTTGGATAGATGCTGGTTTTTCTAACGATCCAACGCTCTGCAATAACAGTCCTAATGAATTTCATGAGAATATTTCAGAAGAATCAAATCCTGATGTCATATCATATATTACCTATCCTCATAATGCATTTGATCTTTGTGAAAAACCTGCTCAATGCGAAGCACGAGTACTAAGTGATCTCGAGTTTGATTACATTTCGGATGATTTCATATCAACTGCTGTTTACCCTTATCACAAACACAGTTCTAATGTTTACTCTAAACAATGTGAGAAATATGTTTTAAATGAAGCCACATTATTCATAACTTGGGGATATAAAGATCCAACATTATTTCGTGGGGGAGGATAGTGTTGAAAAATCTATGGTTTGAATTCGAGATATTAATGATTTCAGTACAAAACCGACATGGTGGTTGTATACAATTCCAGGTGAGTCTGTTCCGATTTCGTTTGTTAATTCCAATACTAATGAGCACTTTCTAGATACTACAGAGTTTTTATCTTATACAATGTCGGACAGACTCAGGATGAACTTAACACGAAGATGTACAACCGATTACAAACACTTATACTTCTATTTAAGCTGTGGCGGATGTGGTGTTTGAATGGACTAATGATACCTTTGTACTGGTTGAATGCTTGATTTCGAATTCTAAATACAATACATTCGTTGGTGCCTGTGTCTTCTTAATTCAATTCCGTTAATCCTGGAATTCCTAATTCATACGATAATTAGAATACTATAGTGGGTCACCTGATTATATAACTGTCTGAAATGAGTCAATTTCTCTTCTACTGATGTCTCTGAGTCGATTATCCAGTTTTCAGCCGATGCTGCAGAGTTAATTGCCTCCAAATCTGCCTTCCATATGTTAGGACGGGCCGGCGCAACTGTTTAACAGGCAATGTCAGCTATGAACTTGAATAAGATGACTGCATGATCGCTTCTTCCTTGAAGTGGTAGGAAATTCATCCGGCGGACTTCATCACCGTGTGTGAAGATTAAGTCCAACAGAGACGATGAGCTTCTTAAGTCATATCTGGTGGGATCTCTAATGTTTTGTAATAAAACTAGTTCAATGAAGCTTTCGAACAGTTTGCGATCAAATGACGTTGTCGATGACCCTATTTCTAGGTCTACTCAATTTGTATTCGGTGCAATAAAGTCGCTCATTATAAGGCTTTTGCCCCTATTACACCAGGACTTGAGTTTGATTAGGAGGGAGTCATCTACTACACATTCTGGACTGCGGCAGTGTGCTCTCTTACCATGTGGAATGGACCTTTATCATAATTAAATTGGGTTAGTATGGAATCCAGACATATGATTCACAGGCCCAGTGATAAAAATACAGACTGGATGCATATTACATGTTATCATTTGTCGTACATGACATTTTTCTGTTGGTTCGATGATTACAATGGGCATTTCGAAGGATTACTTGTTAGCATAGTTTCCAGTATCGCTCTCAAACTTTTCACTATATCAGACATTTTTTGGCTCAAATGTTTGGCTGCGCGATCCTGCATATCCTTAGTTAACTTGTACAACATTAGAGTACTTAGTGGTGGGCTGAAAATGTTCCCTGTTTTGGCTGGCAGGTAGGTTTTATTTTTAAAGCTGCTCGACAGATTTTAAAGATATGCACTGCTTGGCTTATTCTGTGATGCATGCATGTTGAGTAGGATTAGAGATGCAATATGTAATAGTTTTTACATTGCCTTTATAAGTAACACCTTTA